CAATCCTTGAATCATCTTTGTAGCCCTACGCTGGACTCTTTCTAGTAGTTCCCTGTCCCTCTTGAACTGGGGAGCCCAGAACTGGACACAGTACTCCAGTTGTGGCCTCACCAGTGCAGAGTAGAGGGGGAGAATGACCTCCCTTGACCTGCTGGCCACACTCTTCCCTACGCAGCCCAGGATTCCATTGGCCTCTTGGCCACAAAAGCACACTGTTTGCTCATTGTCATTTTACTGTCCACCTCAACACTGTAGCGTATCCAAGTGGCCCCCTCTGGCCCTGACACACTCAGGAGCATTTTTAACCTTAACAATTGCTATTTTTCCAAGGTACAGCAAAGAGAAAACCACTCTTTTCTAGTGGAGGGAGAGGTTGTGTCCCTGGAAGGAGCTGCGGGGGGGTTTCTCCGGGTGTCATGGGGAAGAACCGCGTTTTTGTGTCCCGTCCCCACACCAGGGGAACCAGAGGTACAGCCCCCCAGCAGGGATCCCCCACCAAAACCCCACCACACCCTAAAAACCAAGGGTTCCCACTGCCCCAGAAGGCAGAGGAGGTCACCCCCGAGGTGCACGACGTTCCCTACGGAGCGACTCCTGCCAATGACTCCGGGACTCAGTCTCTCTGGGGAGCACTGACACGGCTCAGGTTTATTTCTGGGCTGGGTGGGAGTGGGTGTCTGGGGGGCAGCTGTGAGATCAGGCACCACCATCCCACAACCCTCGGATCAACCGCGCCGCAGGCACCGAGGTGGGTTTGGGAAGAGTCCATCCGTTGCACTGTGGAGCATCAAACACCAGCGTGCCCCTCCCCGGGCACGTCAGGAACAAGTCTGTGGCAAGGACTAGCATTTTGGGCACACGGTAACATTTACTACTTTATCCACGTGGGCTGATTAAATGAAGAAACCAAGAGAAGTTTTCAGTTTCCAGGTTCCCTCGTTGGCACCGCAACACACCAGACCTACGGGCTGCAGGAAGGGTTTTTGCTTAAACATCTCCCCTGGAGAACAAGCCCAGAGTGGAGAGAAGCCTTCACATTCTTGAGGTCTGACCCGTGGCGAGGACACAGGAGGGTTAGATACCGTCTGTTACTGACCATACGGAAGCTTTTAATGGTAGAAACCGGGGGGGGATTCAGGCCAGCTGAATCCAAATTTAAATGCACGTGTGAAAAAACAACACAAAACCAAAAAATACTAAAAGGGGAGTCGGGGGCTGAAGAGGTTCAGACGAGCATGTGGCGTTTTCTGTGGAGGGCGAGGTGGTCGGAGCGGGAGAAGCTGCGGTCACAGTCCGGGCACTGGAAGGGTTTGATGCCCGTGTGCTTGCGGAAATGCCGCGTCAGTTCGTCGGAGCGAGCAAACTTCCACGTGCAGCCCTCCCACGTGCACTTGTAGGGCTTTTCACCTGGAAGAAGAAGACAAAAAGACAGGAGGGGGGAGTTATTTTAAGAACGCAAAGGCGCCCGTTGTTTAACGTTTGAGAGGTTTACCCTCTCGCCTTCTCCAATCTCATCACTGGATGAGATTGGAGAAGGCGAGAGGGTAAACCTCTCAAAGGGGTAAACCTCTCGAGGGGCTGACTCCAAGAGCCTCCAGCTGCAGGGAACCCTGCCTCTGACACTGACAGATCAAAAAGTATTGTTTCCTGCCACAGCTTATTTTGTTCTCCCCTCTCTGCTCCTCCCTCCGCCCCACCACCGCCTGTTCTGGCTCAGCAAGCCCAGAAATTTAGAAGGTTTCAGCGTTCGCTCAACCATTTTCAAAACCCAGGAGCTCACGTTCCAGAGGAGCTGGGGGGAAAGGGCTGGTGACCCCATCCAGCACCTCTTGAAGTCACTGCAGAAGGAACAACCTGCACCATTGTCACCAACAGCTCCACTTCCAATCACTGCCAACCCTTGCTTTCTAACCCATGATCCTCCTGGTGGAGGATGGTGCCTCAACCCCTTCCCTGGGCAGCCCATTCCAAGGCTTCATAACCCTTTCCATGGAAAAATTTTCCCTAATTTCCAATCTGAACCTCCCCTGGGGCAACTTGTCCTCTTGTCCCATGGCCTGTTCCTTGGGAGAAGAGACCGACCCCCCCTGGCTACACCCTCCTTTCAGGGAGTTGGAGAGAGCCAGAAGGTCTCCCCTCAGCCTCCTTTTCTCCAGGCTGAACACCCCCAGCTCCCTCAGCTGCTCCTCACCAGACTTGTGCTCCAGACCCCTCACCAGCTCCAGCCCCTCAATGTCTCTTTTGTGGTGAGGAGCCCAAAACTGGACCCAGCCCTCAAGGTGGGGCCTCACCAGTGCCCAGTCCAGGAGGACCATCACCTCTTGATTCCTACTCACCACACTGTTCTGACACAGGCCAGGATGCTGGTGGCCTTCTTGGCCACCTGGGCACACTGCTGGCTCACGTTCAGCCAACAGTCGACCAACACCCCCAGTCATTAGGAAATTTGAACATTAGGAAGGAATTTTTCACCGAAAGAGTGGTCGGGCATTGGAACAGGCTGCCCAGGGAGGTGGTGGAGTCCCCATCCCTGGCTGTGTTTAAGGGCCGTTTAGATGCAGTGCTGAGGGACATGGTGTAGGGGAGGACTTTGTAGAGTAGGGTTGATGGTTGGACTCCATGATCCCAAGGGTCTCTTCCAACCTGAATGATTCTATGATTCTATGATTTTGCTGTTCACCCCCAGGCTGACTAAAAGCTGACATTGAGTGTCTGACAGGGGTTTGGTGAAAGCACAGCGATGCTCAAACCTGTGTGGGTTCTTCTGTGAGCTTTCAGGTGGGAGCTCTTGGTGTAGACCTTGTTGCAGCCCTCGTAGTCGCACCGATGGATCCGGCGTTTCCTCTGCGTGTCCGGGGATTCCGCGGGCAGCGGCCTCTTCCCCGGCTGAACTATAACCGAGGGGTGATTCCTGCAGAGGGGAAGGAAACAACCAAACATTGAGGGCAGGAAAAACCTCAGCTAAAAGGGATTGCAGGAAAAACCTCAGCTAAAAGGGATGGCAGGAAAAACCTCAGCTAAAAGGGATGGCAGGAAAAACCTCAGCTAAAAGGGATTGCAGGAAAAATCTCAGCTAGAAGTGATGGGGGACAGAGCCCTTCACTCGCCACCCACCCCTCCCTCTCCTGGCAGGAGGAACACACCCTTACACCCCTGTCAAAAAATTCAAGAGGGTTTAGCAAATTCCATTTTTTTTTTTTTACACATTTTTCAATGTTTACTCACTTTGTGGCATGATGGAGCCATTTCTACCACCCCCTCCAGCATTTTGGGTTTTTTTTTTTGAACAAACCGAGGGAAAAAACCCCCTTCAAATTCCTGTTTTTCAGTCAAACCCAGATTTCTCAAACTCACAGTGAACTTTTTTTTGGCCTTTTTTTTCACAATTGTTCTTCTTCCTTTGAAAGCAACTGATTTGCTTGTGAATGGAACCAGCTATTCTGTATTAGATGGGGGTTGGACCTTGGTGATCTTTGAGGTCCCTTCCAAGCCGAACCATTCTATGGTTATTAGAGAAATTATATCTTTAGGATTTGGAGGCAGAACTCGGCTCTTTATTGTTCCAGCCACTCCTGGGGCGGGTAATTAAGAGTTTCCTGTTTGGTGCTGGCAGGAGGGTGCGGCCTCCCCGTCCCACTGACGTCAATTCCTAAAAGCGGCGTTCAGCCGGGGTGGCACACCCACAGGATGTCTCAAGTTGTCCCCTCCACCTTCACAAACAGCAATTTTTGTCCCTCCCGAAGCCCCACAGGTGAGAGCACAGGTGAAGGTGTGCTCCCACTGCACACACGACAACAAAAACATCAACGTTCAGGCAGGTGGAGACACATCCAGCTTCTGGAAAGAGCTGGGCAGAGGAACCTCATAAAGTTCAAGAGTGGCAAGTGTCAGGTGCTGCACCTGGGGAGGAATAACCCCCTGCACCAGGACAGGTTGGGGCTGACCTGCTGGAGAGCAGCTCTGAGGAGAAAGACCTGGGAGTCCTGGTGGACAACAGGATGCCCAGGAGCCAGCAATGGGCCCTGGGGGCCAAGAAGGCCAAGGGCATCCTGGGGTAAATTGAAAAGAGCGTGGCCAGCAGGTGGAGGGAGGTCATCCTGCCCCTCTGCTCTGCCCTGGGGAGGACCCATCTGGAGCACGGGGTCCAGTGCTGGGCTCCCCAGTTCCAGAAGGACAGGGAACTGCTGGAGCGGGGACAGCAGAGGCCACAAAGATTAGGAGGGGCCTGGGGGATCTCTCTGCTGAGCAAAGGCTGAGGGACTTGGGTCTGTTTAGTCTGGAGAAGAGAAGGCTGAGGGGGGATCTGATCAACACCTATAAATCCTTCAAGGGTGGGTGTCAGGAGGATGGGGCCAGGCTTTTCTCAGTGGTGCCCAGGGACAGGACAAGAGGGAACGGGCACAAACTGGAACATGGGAAGTTCCATCTCACCATGAGGAGGGTATCCTGTTCTCCACCATACAACTCCTTCAGCGCCGTTCTTTAACAGCCAAGAGCATCTTCTAAAAATCGTGTTACAATTTCAAGACCTTTTTCTCCTCCTTTCCTAGCAGACCACACGCTGTTGGCAGCAGGACTTAGACTTGCACCCACAAGAAAAAGCAACATTAATGAAGCTCCTTGTGTTTGATCACAGATTATTACCTCAGTCCTGATTTTAGGAATACCCACGCCGCGATGTCAGTTATCAGAGGTAGAGAAAGCCCTACAGAAGCGCCACCAACATCACACATATATAATGTGTGGGACAAAAAACTAACACCAAAGCAAAACTAAAAGTGAGACTAAGGTTCCCTGTGTCCTTTTACTGTAGTTTATGTGTCTGAACAGTGCACTTTGGGCAGCTGGAACCTACAGGAATTGATAAAGCAGTGCCTAATGATAGCTCACAATGTGCAGGGAGAGGCTGACGGAGCTGTGAGACAACAGGAAATTTATATGATGAAGGCCTAGGTCTCCTCTGGTAACTTGTGGAGTTTGTGTATTTTTTGAAATGTTAAAAAAAAGATTAAAACCACCATTTACAGACATCTCATGGTGGATACAGCAGAACATAAACCTGGAAGTGGTTTTAGGAACTCGGGAGAACCACGGCTCCACAGGACCTCCAGGAAGGAACTCAAACCATGACAGTGTGAGGATGGGTTCCCCATGAACACAAAGCAGAGGAGATGCTTTGGGAGTGTGGATTATCATGGGCTATTCCCCATGCTTTTTGTAATTTTTATATTCTTTGCTCAGTGGATGGGTTTCCTGTGGAAACTGGACTCACTGAGAAATAATGAATGCAAATCACTAAGGCAGGTGAGGGGTGGGCAGAAGCCTGGGCCCCGGAGGAAGGGTGCGGCGGCGCCCAGGGACAGCACTCACTGCTCTGCTCGTGTTAAAGAAGAACAAAAGTACTAACAAAGAACTAAAAAACCAAACCATTGGGTAGTTCTGACCCAGCAGAAGTTAATTCTAAGCACACACAAACCTCACTCATAGGCTCATCGTGGAAGGTCGGTAACCACCTAGGAAACATTTTATCTTACTATTTTATCCTGTTTCTTACAATAAAACATCTCCACCACCTGAGGAGGGGAGGTGCCCGTCGAGGGCAATGGCCTCCTGCAGGAAGAAGGGCCAGAAATGGATTCTGGAGTCCTGTACCCCCAGCCCAGCTCCATTCCCAACCTCAGCTCTGGTCCCGTGCTGCCCCAAAGGATGAGCCGGATTCGGGGCATTTTGGGAAGTTGAAAGAATTTTCCCCAGGAAAATGGGGAAACTGAGGGGTGTCCGTGGCACCCACAAAACAACAGCCCCAGGGAACCATGGAATTTCACTGGGTTAGCACAACTCCTAGGGCTGAGGGGGTTCTTTCCACCCAGCAGCCAAGATTTTCTGAAGGTCCTCCAAGACAAGAAAAGTCCCAAGAATCCTTTTAAAGACGGGTGTTTTGGGTGACATCAATAGAGAGGTCAGTATGAAATGTTTTCAGGCAATCTTTCCAGTTTGCTGCTGGTTTCACATGAGCAGGTATCACTGGCATATTGGGAGTCCTACTTTCAATACTCCCAGGATTGGGACTCCCATGACCTTTAAAATGCATTATATAAATGGCAGATCTACGTGGTTGCCACGTAAAAACATGTATCAACTCCTGTGTTGCTAAAAAGGGGAAAAAAAAGTTGAAAGTCACATTTCTCAGTGGTAGTAGGGAAGGGGAAGGATGTTTTGGTGTTTTTGTGTCTTTTATCGCATGTTCTAAAGCACTGCAACACTCCCTCCCCCTCCTCAGAACTGGGGAACAGCCACAACGGAGGTCTTCTCACCCTTCTGCTCATCTTGGGACTACTGGGGGCTACTTACTCTTGCAGCATGACCTGCTGGGGGGACAGCGAGGTCATCATGGGTGGTGACATCTGCTCGGGATAGAAGTCGGTCTTCGAGGGTTCGGTTCCTGGCTCCACTTTGATTGTTTTCTTCAGGGCAGGCTTCTCGTAAGACTCGATGACGGGCACTGGGGAGGAGGAGAAGGGAAGGCAACACATCAGAGATAGGGGCAGTTATGGAAATCATAGAATCATAGAATTGTCTAGGTTGGAAGAGACCCTTGGGATCATCGAGTCCAACCATCTCCCCTACTCTACAAAGTCCTCCCCTACACCATGTCCCTCAGCACTGCATCTAAACGGCCCTTAAACACAGCCAGGGATGGGGACTCCACCCCCTCCCTGGGCAGCCTGTTCCAATGCCCGACCACTCTTTCGGTGAAAAATTCTTTCCTAATGTTCAATCTAAACCTCCCCTGTTGGAGCTTGAAGCCGTTCCCTCTCGTTCTGTCACTAATTACCTGTGAGAAGAGACCAGCACCAACCTCTCTACAGTGTCCTTTCACGTAGCTGTAGAGCTATAGATGTAAAAATTCGTTGTTAAATCCCCCAGCTCTACTTTTAAAGCATCAATTCATGCTAGAATACAAAATCTCCCAGTTTGAGTCCATCTCCTGATGAACTACGATTCAAAACGATTCTATTCATTTTCATCGGTCCAACATGTTTGTCAGTCCAAATTTTGGTAGATAAAAGAGCTTTCCACAGGTATAAATCAGAACAGAATACGACCTTGGTAAGTTGGGTAGAATACTATAAACCCACCATCCCTGGAGGGATTTAAAAGCCGGGCAGACGTGGTGCTGAGGGACATGGGTTAGTGATGGGTTGGGTTGATGGTTGGACTCCATGATCTGGAAGGTCCCTTCCAAGCTCAGCAATTCTATGATTCTATTTGCAGAGTAAATTCTACACCTGCACATTTCAGAGGAATGGGAATTACGGTCTGTTTCCTAAAACCAGTTATTTTCCCGGGATGAGAGGGCACCAAAGGAGAAACTCTGGCCACCACCCACCTTGCATGCTGCTGGGCGTCTCCATCTCGTCTGCCAGGACGGTGGAGACCATGATGGGCTGCTGAAGGTGGGGGGCGTACATGAAGGGAACGGGCTGGACCACCACGGGCTGTATCACCGGGAGGATGCCGGGGCTCCTCAGTCCGTGGCGCGAAAGGGCAGCGGCCATCACGGGCGGGATGGTGATTGGCATGGAAATGGGCTGCACTCCCGGGGGAGACGGGGTGAATTTGCTCAGGGGGGAGCTGGGTGAGGAGAGAGTCAATCCAGGAGAGGTCCTCCTGTGGGCAGTCTGGAATTTTAAGGGGGAAGGAGAACTTCCAGCCGAAGGCGGCGAGCTCCGCTTGTTCACCGTGAGGTCTACGGGCTCCATCTGGATGCCGTTCGAGAGTCCTTCGGGGCTGGAGTAGAATTTGTTGTGCAACATGCTCGGCGTAGAATAAATGACGCTGTATTTGTTTGGCTTCATGTGGTCCATGTAATTGGACGGGTATGACTGTCAGGAGGGGGGAAAAAAAAAAGAAAATCAAACAATAAATCAAGACGCACACAATGACTGCTGAAAAAGAAAGGCGGCTCACACAACTGAGGCAAAGTGGAAAAGTTTCAAGAAAGCACTTCAACGTACTTTTTCTCAATAAAAGCGAATTAAATAAAGCCCAGGATTTCACACAAAGGATGTTATTCAAGCAGATTCACAAACTGTGTCGGAAACAACATAAAACAGATGATGAAAACCAATCCTCCAGGCTTATCCAGCTCTTTCTCCCTGAACAACTGCTTTGCACAGACTGAGCTGCACAGCACTGACCCCGGAGATCCCTGGTGCTGGGCCCAGTGTGTAACTGTAAAATGAGGATCACAAAGTCACTGAAGAGAGAGAGTTAAAATTGGACTTCAAACTGCAAGTAACGGGTCCCCATCAGCTGCTTAATTGGAAAACAACCATCACTAAAGAAAGTAATGATGTATCTGAACCCTACAGGAAATAAATACACAGTTGAGCTGCGTAAGCAATGGGTGAAAAACCCAAAAGTGCAAAAGGTAAGTTTTAAACCTTTTTTTATTCTTATTATTTAGGAATAAAGCAGCTAAGCAGCCAGTCTGATCTGAGCTGTGTAAGCAACGGGTGAGAAACTCAAGAGTGCAAAAGGTTAAGTTTTAAACCTTTTTTTATTCTTATTGTTTAGGAATAAAGCAGCTAAGCAGCCAGTCTGATGTGGGAAAACTAATAGGTGGTCAAACTTTTGACGTGTTGGAAGAACACTCCTGTCAGAAGTAGCCAGCAATTCTCCTGAGAAGATCCTATAAAACCCCAAACTGATCTCGATCTACGCGATCACCTCCACCTTTTAGTGGAAATAATTTCTGTAAACCAAGAAATAATAACATTCATCACAGAGTACAGTATTAATCAACAACTATCCAGGTCAATTCAGCATTTAAACAGTGTTGAAAACGGAGGTTGCTTATGAACAGGAACCCAAGTGATGTTCTAACACAGCAAACAGACACAGAAAATCCCATCTACACAGTTTTATAGCCCTTAGATGTTGTACATTTTTGGGAAATAAAATGCTACCTTGGGATTCCAGGTAAGTAAAGCCTCACACTAAGGCTAAGCAGCTTCACACTAGTATTAAAAAACTGCTGAATTCTTCGGCGCCAAAAAGACTTTGATAAGTAGGATTAAAAAAAATGTTCAAAATGGTAGAAAGTGAAGCAGATCAGAAGTATAAAACTACTGTATTTTTATCCAATCATATCTATGACATTTCAGTTATTTTTTTCCTGAGGTGGAAACTTCCAGCAGTCCTTCTTCCTGGCTTCTTACATCAGTCTTCCCTAGGGGACGTTTATGTGATTTTAAATATCCAAAATTGTTTTTGCAAAATGACACAGACGTGTTTTTCTTCTTTTCAGTTACTGTTTGAAACAGTGAATTTAGAAAATATTGAATTTTCCTGCTACACTCGTAACACTGTAATAACAAAACACCTACTCCATAAAATACTCTAATAAAGCAGCACACGCGATGGTGATTAATCTTCGAACAGTAAATATGACATTAAAACCTCTGGAACTTTATTTATTCTCTTTACGGCCGTTCTTCCAGACTTGATCTATAAAAACATTCCTCTCTGATGGTAACTGGTTCCTCAGAATTCTCTTAAAATGCCCTTATTGCAGGCAGCACTGGCTAAAACAAGTCCTACAGATTTGCCACCACTGCTGAGCCCAGTGATGAAATTATGAGCGTTCCAAGTGATGAAGGCCACTGGATATTGATAGAATTCAGTATTTAACAGTATTTAATGTCTGCTAAATCTGATCAAGCTATGGGCACGGGCAAAAATGCAAAATTTAACCACACAGGAGATATTTAGTGCTCCTGTGAAAATTGCTGCCATTGGTTGGCAAAGTTTATTTGGCTTCAACAAACTGTAAATGCTCCCCCACAGTGTCAGCGCCTACAAGCACTTCATCCATGGCAAGAATACTGGGAAAGGAAAAAAGCAATGTAATTTAAATCTCAGGGAATGTTTTCAGTCAGAATTGAAGAAGACAGTATCTCCCAGATGTAACCTTTCTCTACAAACAGCTCTCCTCTTCCAGCTCCTCAAGCAACACCAGGTGTGTGTGTGCTGAAAAAACACCAAACTATTAAAACCTCGCGCAGAGAACCATAAACCAGAAAAGCTCAGTAAAATATAGACAAGCAAGAAACACTTTCTAAGAATTAGGAAGAAAATAACGATGTTTTTAAGAAGTGATTCTTCTAGGGACGTGGTATTTTACCCCATGTGCCTTGTATTATTTTGCATAGAAGGTTTTCATTGCTGTAATGAAGCTGACAGAGATTTAACATCAGCGTTTTCCTCTGGCACTTTGGGGAAGCTGAGTCACTCCTCGAAACTCTTCCTCCTTGTTTGTGTAAATGGGAAAAGCTCTGTAAAATAGATTCAGACAAGCAAGAAACACCTTCCAAGAATTAGGAAGAAAATAATGATGTTTTTAACAAGTGATTATTCTAGGGATGTGGTATTTTACCCCATGTGCCTTGTATTATTTTGCATAGAAGGTTTTCATTGCTGTAATGAAGCTGACAGAGATTTAACATCAGCGTTTTCCTCTGGCACTTTGGGGAAGCTGACATAAACCAGAAAAGCTCAGTAAAATATAGACAAGCAAGAAACACTTTCTAAGAATTAGGAAGAAAATAACGATGTTTTTAAGAAGTGATTCTTCTAGGGACGTGGTATTTTACCCCATGTGCCTTGTATTATTTTGCATAGAAGGTTTTCATTGCTGTAATGAAGCTGACAGAGATTTAACATCAGCGTTTTCCTCTGGCACTTTGGGGAAGCTGAGTCACTCCTCGAAACTCTTCCTCCTTGTTTGGTTTTTAATTGCTGTGTTTCTATCTGAACTACAGATAAAAGCTGCAATAGACAAATGTGGTGTGACAAATTATCTGTGCTGGGAAGAAAAAAGGGTGAAAAAGTTGGAAGAATGCTAGAGCAAGAGTCTCTTGGGGGATAAGGGAGTTTCTCTATGTATAGGGAGTGCAAACAAACCAAAAAAAAAAAGAGCCCAACCACCTCTGGTTGGTTTTCCACTGACTGCAGGAAGCAGAAGCATATTCCATAGCCTGCAAGAGCCATCTTTTCTCACCTGTCCTAGGACTTAAAGGAAGTATTCTGGTGGAAAAATGGAAAATTAGCTATACCTGCTCTGTTTGCCGAGAATATTTAAGGTGCTACATCCTCCCTGGATTTCTCCTGTGGGAATGAACAGTGTATGCAGGAGTTTGGTCTGACATGGACTGAAAAAACCTCACCAAATTCCTTCTTTCCTGTAAACTCCGCTTCCCACAACAGCCCTGCATAGAATGACATGTCACTATAAAGATGCAGGATTGCATTTCAGCGTATATTCCTTTACAACCTCCCTCTAGCTCTTTTTTTATTCTTGATATCATCACTCTTTGGGCCTTACAAAGCAATTAATTTACCTTTCCTGCCTTTTTTTTCCCCATAATAAACCCCAGAGCGCTGAAGCCATAAAGGAACTGGAAAAGAAATCAAAGGAACTTCTGATGTTTTTGAGCCACGTCCGTGTGGCTCAAGAATTAAATCAATACATCCAAAAGGATTAAGAATCACCACGCTTTTCCTCTTGAAAACCTGTCAAGAATAAACACTGGCCCAATAGGTCACACACACACCTATCCCCACTCAGAAGAACATTATCAAAGGACATTATCAAGCACTAATCTGATATCATTTGCTAAATTCTATGATACTGCCCCAGTGAAACACCGTTGTTATACAGGTGAACAGATTCTCAAGTTTTGGGCCTGATGGGAAGGCAGAAAAAAACCAGTTTATTTCAATTCAAAGAAAAGTGATAACACATAAAAAAGCAACTTCTCTCACTAAATGGTCAGAGGTGTTTGCCCAAATATTTAAGACATTCTCGCAGCAAATATTTGGGTAGGACTCATAGATGAGTTTGTCACCAGTTCATTAAGAACTATCATAAAAAACGTTCAATATTTCAATTCAGTAAAAGGCTGGAGCTGTTGGTGGAGGGGAGAGTGATGAAATTCTGCAGGTGCCAGCTTCAGTTGTCTCGAGAAGTGGAGCTAACTTTTGGCAACACCCCCCGAAACACACTGCTCTCAAACCCCTCATATTTCCTTCCTTCTCCCACCCCAACTAATGTGATTCTTTAAAGATGGTCTTTATACCTACAGTATAACGTAATTATATATATATATATAAAGTGTGTGTTCAGGTAAAATAACATATAATTCCTAATTCATTTAGTTTGGCCTCTAACGATACTATCAGAATGACCACAGTCATCTCCATGAAGGGAACCTCACTCCAAACAAAAAGTCCTTTCCTCTGGACTTTCTGCTTTTCCTTTCCTGCCTTTTTTTTTTTCCTTTTCTTTTCATTATGCAAGATTTGGGAAAATGCTCTGAATGGCCTCTAACGGCTGGTCCATTCCATCTCCTTAGATCTCCCACAATAACCACGATTGAAGTGACAGACTGGCCAGTACTAAGGGTTTTTTTTTTTGACCCAAATACTGGAATTTGTCACACCTGCACCCTCAGTGAGAGAGCAGTTATTTTTCTATCATTGCTCCCAAGTCGGTAAGCTCCATGAGAAGTCAAACTGTAATTTTAAATTGCATCTAAACTCAACTCTCAGAAGGTTTTATTGACAGCACTGAAGAAACCAGACTGCATTTATACTGGTGACAATTATTCTGTATTTGAAACAAAACAGGAAGGGAACTTTTCACTGAGAGATGCCATCCAGAGCAGCACGAGTTTAAGGCACTCTAATTTATGTGCATTGACTTCACCCTTTTAATTGATCAGCCTTTCCAAGGGTGTGGTTCACGTTATGCTTAATCTGATTTTATTGCAGGCTCCTGCTGAAAGGGGAGGTCCCTCTCCCTCCTCCTCCTCCGCCCTCCCCTGGCTCCAGCAGCTGCAGGATGAGTCAGATCAGCTCTTTGACCTGACCAAAAAAAAATATGGGGATTTTTGGTTGGTAAGAGCCTAAATCATCACAACTGCCTCACAGCTACCCCTTCTAGCTGCTCTTGCTTATCAGGCTCTTCTCTGAGACGACCCCATACACCAAGCTGATGGAAAACTAACCCAATTGGAATAATAAAAGTTTTCCCTTCCCTTTTTTTCCCCACCATTCCTCCTCCACTGCCCTGGTTCTCATCTCTTCAGGTCATGCTACCACTTACCCAGTGAAAAAACATTCCTTTTTTTTAGGTCAGGGTTAATTTTCTGCTGTTTAGAGCGCAGAGTTAGCCCCAGGCAGGTGTTTTCAAAACCAAGAGAGAAACACAGAAAGGGTCAGTTGAGTTTGTTTAGTCCAAAGGTTCAAAAATGTTGAAACCCCAGGCTCTGGCCACATCACCGTGAAGTTCTGTAACTGCACAGCCTCTCCCTTCCTGGGCTAATCCAAAGCTTGGAGAAAACCTGGTATGAATTTAAATGTGTAAAAACCACACAGTCATCACAAAGGCTAAAACATTTGAAAAGCCTTACCACTGAAACAGGCTCCATGGCTTCTTGCTTGATAGGGACCGGGTCAAACATCAGCATCTTTTATATTCACCTGCCCTGATGCCACTGGTGTCCTGGCCTGCAAGGGACAGACAAGGGGTAAGAAAGCTGCAGGAAACCCTCCCGTCTCTAAAGAACTTACTATTTTGCCAGATTAATGTGAATATTTACCCATCTCTGACACAGCTTCTTAAATATTTGACTGGGCTGCATTGAGGTGTTTCAGTTATTCTAAGTTTATTGTTTCCCTGCCGAAACGGAGGGGCACCTGCTCACTTTAATGAGAGTTAATTTGGATTTTTATTGTGCATGGCAGCATACTGGGATCACAGAACTGTCACTTTCGTTAGCTGTCATTAGTGTGTAACCTGTATTAGACTATACATTTGTCATCAGCATCAGAACTTCAGAATAATCTCCTTTAGCTGATAACCTCTATGGAATCAGTTCACTGAATTATCTCTTGTCCCGATAGAAAAGTTGAAGCTTTTATGTATATGGACATTGAAATCAATGCAAAAGAAAGATTAAAATCCAGGACTAATTGACAGGTATATGGAACGTGCTGCAATGACTTAACATCAAAAAATACATCAGTTATTTCCCGGAGAGAATAGATTTAGTGACAATTCACCACTAATCTGTGCAAAAGAGAAGCATTTCAAAAAAATCTGGCGAGCTTTTATAAATCACTTCAGGTTATACATCGTATGGTTGATGCTGAAGGAGGAAGTTCTGACCGTACACAAACAGCCCTGCCTGAAAGGGGCATGACCTCTATTAAGATGCAAGAACAAAAAAAACCAACAACAACAAAAAATAATAATAATAATGACACAAATTCGATTTCGACCAGTAGATGGCACTGGAAAGAAAGGAATGAAGCCAGGTCACACCAGCAGGAGAACTTCCCCCTGCGGAAGTGGGCTAAAGGCTCAACAACAGATCTGAGGCTGGGGCTGAAAAAACTCTCCCAAAAATCTAAATGAAAATTTTATGAGATGTACCCGCTTCACATTAAAACAATTCTAATAAGCCTGCCCTAATGAACAATCTTGCAACTAACAAATGTGTGTGTTAACAGATAAAAATTTGCTAGGAGCTTCCAGAGAAAGATGCCTTGAGTTTTAAAAGTCTAACAGTAATTATTCAGGTGTATGAATAAAGTTTATCTACATCTATTAAAACTGTGTAGGTCTTGGATAACTGAATCAAACAAGTATCAAAAGTCAATTAAAGTATCTTCATCGTTCTCCTTACAGAACTCATTAACTACCGTGTGTGTTAATAGATAAAAATTTGTTAGGAGCTTCCAGAGAAAGATGTCTTGAGTTTTAAAAGTCTAACAGTAATTATTCAGGTGTATGAATAAAGTTTATGTACATCTATTAAAACCGTGTAGGTTTGGAATAACTGAATCAAACAAGTATCAAAAGTCAATTAAAAGTATCTTCATCGTTCTCCTTACAGAACTCAAAGGCCTGAAAAAAACAAATTGCAAAAAAAAAAAAAAAGTGATAGGAATAGAGTAACTCAACACAATTCCCAGTTTAAACTTAACATGTAGTTTTATTTTAGGAGCAGTTGTGTAAAATAGCACTATCTGCTGAAAGTTGTAATACTTTTGTAAATACTTCAGATATGCCTGGGAGAAGGTTATTAACTACACTACTTTTCTCTGAATTATTCTTTCCCAGGTTTTTAACATTTCCCATAGCTAGCAGTAACGATTCAGAGGGCTGTCTTCCCAGAAATACATCCAGATATCTATGCATTAAATTTTAGTTTATATGTGAGTAGATAAAGTGACACACTGAGGCAAGAAAGAAAAGAAAGAAGGGAAGAGAGAAATAGAAGAGAGAGAGAAGGAAGAGTTTGTTCTAAGGGAGCAGTCACACTCCAAGGCTACTCTTTTTGTCAATTTGTTGTTTTAAAATTGGAATTTCTTCAGTTTATAAATTACTCCTTTTCACCTTTTCCTTCAAGAAAGACATTCGCCTGCCGTGCTGCAACTGAGCACTTCCTGAGAGGGCTCTAAATTACTGGAATTATAGGAATTAAGACTGACACAGACAACAGGAAGTGCAAGGCTCTGAACAGAAGTGAGAAGTAATTCCCCATCCTTATCAGGTATGGTCACCTGAGAATGGCAGAGAAAATGTGACTTTTATTGCTGCATCATAGTCCAGAAATCCAGCACCTCTTTATCACTGGTTACCCTGAAGCGCTACGTTTCTTTTCCTCATTTGACAGTGGCTGGAAACCAATTTTCAAGAGAATTAATTAATATCTAACAGGTGGTCCTGTCAGTCCAGATCAAAGGGTGGGAACTGATGGAGCTGCTGCAGAGTCAATATAAACCAGCTCTGGGCCTGGCATTTAAACTTCAGTAGAAGAACACTTTTCCGAAGGCTGCGAATAAACTCACAAAACAATTCTCTTTGTATTTAAAAATAATGCTTCAAATGGATTACTTGGACCCAATTCACAAGCAAAATACATGTACACAAAACCCATGCTATTTCTGGTAAGAAGTCAGTAGTTTTTCCTGGTCTGTTGGTAAAATCCTGCCTCCTAACTCAGAAATTCTCTCTCCCAAACATTTGAGAAGGGGGCAGTAGGGAAGGCAAACAGCCTTATCTGTTTCTGTTACAGAGGAATGAAAAAAAACAGCTGGGTTCTACTTTACACACTGATTTCATAATGTTACTTGTTTGAAAGCCCACAAATTGTTTAGTAAATACAGCTAATTTCTGCAAAATCAAAACACCGCCTCTCATTCCTGAGGTAGACTAGAAAAAACCAGCCAGGAGACAACAATAGGTTCATATTAAGCCTATTAAAAAACAAGGGCCTTTGTCTTTCATGTTACTAGATAAACTATTTTGCATTAAAGGGTTGTTTTTTTTTCATGTGGGTTGAAAGAATTTAAAATGCATGTAATCTGAAACTAAATAATTAACTACAATCCGGTAGGCAAACATTCCACCCTCTCTTTTTTTTTTCTTTTTATTTTTTTGCTCTCCCTCTCTTTTTTTTTTTTTTCTTTTCTTTCCCTGCTCACAAACCACCCGGTTTTACTTTCTGGCCTCCTCCCTTTCACCCCACCCTGTGGCTCCCCGCCAAGTCGGTCCGACTTGTCCAAACAGGACACGGGCCTTTTGATAAGATTTTTATTTTTTTTATTTTTTTTTGCTCACACCCTGTACTTCAGAAAGACAAATGAAGCAATTGGGGTTTTGTATGCAAATAAGGACAGGTGCAAGGTAAAGTCCAGGCAAAGTCCCTCGGCGTTTTCCTATCTAAAGTCCAGAAAAAACCCAACCCCACAAACTCTGCCTTTATGGTCCAATAGGCAGGGAAGTAGCCCTTCTGGAAGGGAAGCTCATCATGGGTAGAGCTCCTGGTCTTGTCAAGATTGAAGACTTCTCAAGATCAACCTTCTGACAGGTATGGTTTACTGTTTTGGAGACATAATTAAGAGCAAATGAAAGCTTAAAGGTACTTAACGTGTGTTCTGACAATAAGGACTTGTACAGATTATTTACCCTGGATGGAAAGAGCAAAGCAGTTGAAGAAGACACCCAGGGTACATCTGGGGCCTACAGGAGAGATGGAGAGGGAAGGACTCCTGATCAGGGAGGGGAGCCCTAGGAGGAGGGGGAAGGGTTGGACCCTGCAAGAGGGGAGATGGAGCTGAGCTGTGGGGAAGAACTTGTTTGGTGTGAGGGTGGTGAGAGCCTGGCCCAGGTTGGCCAGAGAAGCTGTGGCTGCCCCATCCCTGGAGGGGTTCAAGGGCAGGTTGGAGGGGGCTTGGAGCAACCTGGGCTAGTGGAAGGTGCAGGGGCTGGCACGGGATGGTCTTTAAGGTCCCTTCCAACCCAAACCATTTCATGATCTGCACTGCAGAGCAGCTGGAGAAGAGCAACCGCGTTGTGGCTTCTTCTGGCAAGTTCTGGACACCTATCTTTAAGATCCTCAGACCTGTTGTGAAAGGAAAGGGTGGGGTGAAGGGACAGGTTTGACCCTGCACACCCAAAAACAACAACAACAAAGCCCTCCCTCTAACACAGAGCCTCTGCTCTCATTAAATACCAAGAAGAGCTGCCAGCAATCTGGCTTGTTGGGGACAGGGAGATGGTGACCATGAATTTTGCCTCTCCTCACCCTGCATGACAGCACGGGACGCTGCCCCATGGTACAGCCAGATTTTGGCTAGAAGCTTCAAGGTAGGACGGTCATTAGTGGAATAATTACAGAATAATGTAATGAACTCTGCTAAATTAGCACTGCATGAGTGCCCTCTGCAAAGACACGGCTGCTCTTGCAGCGCTGATGGTATCTGGTGGCCAACGGGGTCGTGCAGCCAAAGTTCTTCAGTCCAATTTGGGACAACTGGTGTTTGGGACTTGGGCTGTTGCTTTCAACCAAAGCTCTTCAGTCCAGCCCCTTGGGATTTAGGCTGTTGCTCTGAAACTATTACTTCTCTGAGCCTCCAGTCAAACTTCCCCTGATCCTAAGGAGAAGTGATAACATCAGAAGACTCTCCACTGATGACATCCGGAGGGTGGGGAGAGGTTTTCTAAACCCAGGTGAGAAGTCTCCTCCAGTGGAACCCTGAAACACAGCTTGACAGAGCAAAAACCAGCTTCTGAGAGCAGGATTCCCTGGAAGGGTCAAAAAAAGTAAGTTTTCCAGGGCTAGTAACAAGATGTGTTTGCACTTACTGCACCAGTTGCTCATCAAGAGCTGAGTTAGCAAAAAAAAGAAGCATTTGTAAAGTTCCATTAAGTTTAATGGGAAGTAAGAAAGGGCCCAACTGCTCTTGGGTCCCAAAATAGCAGCAGAAGAAAATCTCCATCTCAGCACCACCGTCGGGCTCAGTCACAGCAAGCAGGGGAAGGAGAAAAGGTCCAGACACAGTGCTGGGGGAAGGGACCCCCCCAGAAGAACAGTGGGGGGAAAAATGGGGAAGAATCAGTACACCAAGAAAAGGGTCTACCGGTCGGCAGCCCTCTGCCTTTTGTTTGTTCATTGCATTTCCACTGGGAAAGGGGAAAAACTTGAAAAAGTCAGGATATCACGTAGAAAGAAAATGGCAAAAAGGTTTTACTTGGTAGGCATGAAGAAAAAGACAATTTCTGTAGGATTCTGTTATTTAGTATTTCAGACTATTTTTTGCTTCTTATTGGCTTGAAAAATCTCATACCTTCCTCCTTCCAGACCTAGATGCAGGCTGAAAAATCTGGGGTTTTTTTGCACAACTTGTGCATCCTACCTTTGCTGACGTCACTTTGTTTGACCTAGAACCGCTCTGACATAATCACTTATCAGCCGTGTCACAGACTAATCAGTAATTCCATTAAATTTACAGTAATACCCTTGGAGGCTCTTTGAATCCACAGGCCTGGAAACGCAGCTCTCTCATAGGCACCAATTTTGGGAAGTTCTCGCAGTGCTCATTAAGAAAGTATCTTCTCTAGCAAGGGACAACGGAGCCCACGTAAACCCTGCTCAACCTTCAGTTCTACATTTACTGAACCCAACGGAAGAAAAGCTCTTGAGGCACCTCCATTCAACAATATTCTCCCTTATCAGGGCAGACTCCTGTCTGGTTTCCTGTCTCAAGCTACTTCGTAGAAGGAGAAACAGTCAAAAGATCAGACTTCTGAAAACAAGTGAAGTACGTGGAATGGGACGATAATCTTTCCCTCCCAAAGTGAACTTTGTTGTTTTTTGTTTTGTTGTCGTATTTTTCTGAAGAGGTTAAATTTGAAGATAATTTCAAAGAAGAAATATAAATCCCATTTTTTTTTTTTATTACCAGGGAAGAATGGCAGAAAACACTGTTCTCTTAGGTAAGGGGTGCTGCTGTTTCATGAAACATATGAAGCAGAGATTCAACATTTCTGATAGTATGGGGAAGAAGAAAAAAAATCTAATCCTAAAGAAAGCAAGTGTTCATTCATGAATAATAGCCTTAAGGATTAGTTTGAATGAGGATTTGAATACAGGGCAAATGTCAATGAACTTCTATGCACCTGCACCTACAGAAGTAGGAAAAAAACCCCAAAAGAGGGAGAAGAGCTGGATGGTGTAGTGGGTACGAATGAGACGGGGATCAAAGCAGCTCAGACTCTTTAAAAGTGGAAAGTTTGTCACGCCTTCATGGATCAGGTTTGTTGGTAACACACACTGACTGCGTGATAGGCACACCATGCATTTCTTGGGTGGCTTTTTTTTTTCCATTCTGACTTAGTTTACTATTAAAAACCTGCTAGAGCTTTATCTTTCCATTTGGGCTGATCTACACTTACACTTCCTTCCCCTGGGAAACACCAACCACGGCTACAGAGCCCTCAAAGGAAGCCTCAGCACCAAGTGAACGCTGAGCAGGGAAGGGTTAAACCTCTCCTCAAACCAGCTCTGCCAAACTTCATATTCTGGGTTGGAAGCAACAAGCCTCGGAATGAAAACACAAAGCTTCAACCCTGACAGCATGAAAGAACTCTAAAAGACCTCCTGTTAGCCGTGTTAATTAATATTAAAAAGCTGGTTTACAAAACTATTATAATTTTAATCTCGGTCCCTGATTTTGTAGAACTTCTGGCTACAAAAAGGTGTGAACCACAAAATGTACTGCATTTATTATACGCCAGTTTCCAGTATTAAATGCAGTTAAATGAAACACTCTTCCTCTGTCATGGGAAAAAAAAAAAGATTAAATATGTCTGAAATTCTGTGCAAATTAACACTGATTATTGAAAATAATCAATAAACAACTTACCAGAACTGTGTGGCCAAATACTTCTTGTTATCTGGATTTCTGAACAGACAAAAAAAAAACAAGCTGATGTAAGGATGTGCACGTAATTCAGTAAAAACTATTTTTCACATACAATTAGGCCCGAAAGAGGAAGTTAAAAGCATGTATTTCGGATACTTCCCACAAGATACCTGCAATGATCTCAAACAACTAACTTTCTGCATCCAAAAGAGGGACAGCAGGAATGCAGAGATTACTTAAAACTGAGTGAAATTAAAAAAGGAGTAAAAATCTGGCCCCTAAGTGACAGAGAAGAATAAAAACTCCATCTTGCATTTTCATCCAGGGCCCGATTCAAAGCCCACTGAAGTTAATGCAAGTCTTTCTCCTGATTTCAATGAGCTTTGGCTGGGATCCTTCAGCTCTTCTCCTGTCAGATCCAAAGCAACAGAAATACTGAATTTCCTCTCCATGTTTCCCTACGTCTGCCTGCAACAGGGTGTGGAGGGGGAAAGACAAACATAAAAACGGGAGTAAAAAAAAATTATTTTGACATCTTCAAAAATGTAAACTGTGGGACGCCCATACCTATTGATTCCAAAGAAAAATTAGCCAGCAGTGCCTCACTTTCTGTATTACATTTGAAAGACAGTGAATCTTTTAGTTTGAATGAAGAGAAAAACACCTATTCCTTTTGAGATTTGGGAATACAAGGTGGGCCATGCAGGTTAGGGAAGGGCAGAAACCAAAACCCTCTTACAAGTATAAGCCTGGAGATGAGGATTCTTTTCTCATGCTCCTTTTTTTTTCTTTTTTTTTTTTTTTTTTCCACCAGTGCATCTCCATGACTTTAATGGAGCTATTCCAGACAGGCTGCTGAGCAAGCAAGAGCAGAAAACTGGCTCGCAACTTTCTGGAGAGCGAGAGCCCAAGTTTTCAGCCACGGGAGGGAAGCTCTGCAGTTCAAACCCGACCCCCCCCTTTCCCTCAATTATTATTGTGGAGTCGAGGGCGTGCGTTAAAGGTTAACTTGGAAACCTCATGATGACATAACGCAGGCATCTTAAGCAATCCTGAGTGTGTAGAGACACGATAACTCACTGGGTGGGGATTGGGAGTTGAGGGGCAGTGACAAGGGGCCTGGACGAGGCCACCGATCTGCCAGAAAACAGCCTGAAACAGGAAAAGAGCACCACATATGCCACTTGGAATGTGTGACGCAAACCCCAGCCTTGAAACAAAGAACAGGAAACAGCTCTGCTGGCTGCGCTGGGGAGAAAGCACAGAGAAACATTTAGGCGGCCCTCCCTGACCCTATATTCATGAGCAGCTGGAGTCTTTTAAAACAACAACAGTGGGTGGAGGTGTTTGTTCACTGGGTGTGAATAAAAACACTGTCCTTATGCTAGGGGACCTGCCCTATTTACAAACAGGCTCCCTCCGTGCAAGGGAGCGGGGAGGTTTTTAGACACCACGGGTCAGGAGGATTAGCCCGGACCTTCCCCAGGACCAGCCGGGTGTGTGACTGTTTTTAGGGAATGCCAGGAGCTAAACGGGAGCTTCACGGCATCAAAGAGGCAGCGCCCAGCCTGCCAGTAAGCACCTTCTCGGCAGGGACATCCTCCTTGGGATCAGCCAAGGGGCTGCTCCCAGACCCTTGTCTGCTCCTGCCCAATAGCTGAGAACGGCCACCACTCGGTGCACCCAAGAGCATTCTTAAGCCGTCACACACTTGGCCTTCTACATCCCCGTTTCACGTGCGCTCAGGCTTCACCTCAGGACCTGGTTTTCCAGGGATATGCACCCAAATACACGGCTGAATAAATTAAATAAGCCAACGACAGGAGAGGGAGTAAAGGCACAGCTTGTCTATATGCAACACCATAGAAAAAGGTCAACATTAGTTTTCCTTAAAAGCCCTGGTTTCAGCTACTCTCTCTTCTCTTACACACTTTGCATCGGTTATTTCTATACTGTGGGTGGGACATCTAATATCATCCAATGTGAGAAGGTGTCACAGCAAATTATGGGGACGAGCACCTCAGTGACACCCGTAATTGCTGTGGGGCTTCATGGCTGGAGTTTAAACAGGCACAGGAGGTGACAACCAGCCAGTCCAGCACCTACACAGCAACCCGGGGCTGCAGCTTCCACACCAATAGCATCAGTTCCTTACTTTCCTCACGCAGAACACCTGGAAACGTAAGTGATTCGGTGGTTGTACAACTCCCACCTCTGTTATCTCTGCGCCTTCGACTCATCTCACCCGCATTTACAGCATTATTTATCTGCAGGGTTTTGCTTTTGGCTGAACAGGTGTCGCCCGGGTCAAATCCTCACAGGACCTAAGGGCTCCTCCTCACGGCTCTGCTGCTTACAGGGAATTTTTTCTCAATTTCTCAGGGAAAGGAGAGAACATTTAGTGTCTTCTTTTTCTTCCCACCCCTGCCCTGACTCCCAGTCTCCCCTGTGGTCTGTAGCACAGCTATGGCAGGGTTGTGCAGTGGAAATTTAAAAAATAAAAAAGGCTACTCAAGTCTGCTTCGGTTGTTTTGGTTTTTCTTTTTCTTTCTGTATTTTAGAATCACAGAATTGTAGAGTTATCCAGGTTGGAAGGGACCTTTCAGATCCTCTGGTCCAACCATCAGATACTACGACCATTTTGACACTAGACAAAATATTCTTAAAAAATACAAGAGGAAAGTCAGTTTGAAATAAATCTCTTCTGGGTCAGGCAGGATTATCAAATCCAGATGGAATTCCCCTCACACAAGCAGCAGTCCCTCATGCAATTATCAAGACACTACATCTTAAAAGCATTCTGTGGAAAAGTCACTAGTGAGCAGCCGGGTAATCCTTTTGTTTTCAATACAGGTAATGAACATTTATAGATGTTAGTTTAAATAAAGTCTTCAGAGCTCTCCTATCAGCCACCCGAAAATCAGCTTGTCCCAACAATAAAACCTTCAGAGTTCAGCTCCACAAACAGTGACACTTCCTGAGCTTCCAAAGGCGAGGAAGCAAATAACCCCGTGCAGGTACAGTACCCCAGCCACCAGGGGAGTACACCACACAACTTTAATGTTTGGTTTTTGGTTTCTTTTTTCTTCCTCCTCATGTAACTCTTGAATGACCACCGGAGATATTCTGAAAGACCTATTTCTCCCCAAACTGCAGCACGGTGCTGCGATCTCCCAGCAAGGGCTCCTGTCGCTGGAACCTTCCCATTCCAGTGCTCCCCCAGGCACTCACCTGACAAAGCCCCGAAGCAAGTAACTCCTATTCCCATTTTGGCTTTAAAAAAAACCCCCAAAACCCCCAAAACCAACCCAACAAATGGCAACCCCGAAAAGGGAAGCTAATTATGGTGGCTATTTCCAGCTCCACGCGGAGCTGCGGTGCTGTCCCATGGCGCTTTGACTTTGCCCACACCATGGCCAAGCGCAGCGTGAGGGATGAATATCCCAGAGCCGCTTCTCACCCCTCAGCTCCGCCAGGGGTTAAAGCGGGGACACGGCCAAGGGGCCACCTCCGGCCCCTGACGTTCCCCCTCAGAAGCCTCAGCGTCTCCCGGGAAGCGGTGACGCTTCAGTCCCTCACCGGGAGCCGAAAAGGCGGGAGGGTGGCCGGGGCTGAGGGGCAACCGGGGCCTGAGGGGCGACCGCGGCCCGAGGGGGCGTCCCCCCAGGCCCTTCCGCCGGGGGCTGAGGAGCGACCGGGGCCTGAGGGGCAGCCCGCAGGCTCTCCAGCCGGGGGCTGAGGGGCGACCGGGGGCTGAGGGGCGACCGGGGGCTGAGGGGACGTCCCCACGGGCCCTCCCGCCGGGGCCTGAGGGGCGACCGAGGGCTGAGGGGATGTCCCTCCAGGCCCTCCCGCCGGGAGCTGAGAGGGGCGACCGAGGGCTGAGGGGATGTCCCTCCAGGCCCTCCCGCCGGGAGCTGAGAGGGGCGGGCGGCCCGCAGGCCCTCCCGCCGGCGGCTGAGGGGCGCCCCCGTGTCTGAGGGGGGCGGCCCGGCCCGCGGGCCCTCCCGCCGGGGGTCAGGCGGGCGGCAGGCCCCGGGACACCCCTTCCCCGCCACCTCTCACCAGGCAACGCGGC